CTTCTAATTCTTTGAGGTACCCTCATAAATGATTTATAAATTATGTCATTAAGGTTTTGTGTAACAACCTCACTTGTCCCTTAAGGACTTAGTGCTCTAGTCACTAATAGTTAACTGGCTCCTGGCACTTGGCTCACTAAGAGTTAACAGACTTCTTTAGGTTTTGTTGATGCAGAGGCTAAAAGTAGGGGGTCAGAACCCAGAACGCTAAGGCCTTTGTTTTCTGGAACACTGGGAACAGGTTGTCATGCCCCTCCCCCTGTTTTTGCATGCCTAAAAGAAGGTCTGTGACTGGGCCAGCTGACAAGGCCTTGGGTGAGTTGTGCTGTTTTCTTACTATTATCATGGGAAAATTCTGGTGTTTTGAACTGCTTAAGTAGTAATCATGTGTGAGCTTTGTATGAATTTTATACTTTGAACTTCCTAATAAAAAGCCTTCCAAGATGGAATAAGGTACCCTTGAGCTGGCCCAAGCAAAGGGTCCCCTGATCTGCTTTCAATTTTGGGGGAAATGGACACTGTAGCCGGCATCTACAGTTTTCTCTATTCTCCCTATTCATTTAGTTATTTATTCAGTTTTCTGGGACTATATGGAATGAGGCACATAAGTGCTGTGCTCTCAGCTGTTTTCAAATGCTATGCTGTTTTGTTGCTCACATTCTTAACCTTTTATAACCTCTTACCTACTAACAATATCTGCACTGCATTGTGTTTCTCAGTTGCAGAATATTAGTTAGATAAATATCACAGTGGGTCAAAATATGCAACAGACACGTGGAAGAATAATACATTTATGGACTTTTCAGAGTCCTTTGAGCTATAGATTGAGAAGATGGAAATAACACCCACGCACAGTAGCTACTGTTAGTAATGGGCTGTATAATGCAAGCCTTGAATGATGGCAGGTGGATATTAGAGATTCTTAAATGCACATGATACCTATTGGGGGTCTTCCAGAAAAGTCTCCAAGGAAATGATGGTGCTGACATCAGTACAGTATCATGAGACATCCATCTTCCTCAATGACAGCTAAGTATATAGAAGACTGATTTTCATTTATAGGAAATCTCTGATATCTATAATGCTATTTCATGTCAATATGCATGCAATTCTTTTTATTAGTTTGTGTTTAGTTATGAAACTTCATGTGCAGCCCAGATTGGTCTTAAACTTGCCTCCTCTTGTCATGATATTTCAAATGCTGTAATTAACATAAAGTACTGGATCCAGCTTTGTCCCACGCTATCGTCTCGCCAGCAAGAACGACGCGGCACACTCAGGATCCTTCTGCAGAAAAGCTTTAATGCATCTTGAGAGGGAGAGCATAAGCTTACAGGGCGAAGACCCCGAATGTCGGACACCCAGCCCTTATATAGGTTAGTAAGCCCGTCTTGGACGTGGCAACTCTTGATTGGTCGCAAACTCATCAGCCCATATCACGCCACGAGGTAGGCAGAGACTAGAAGGTGGAAAATTACTTCGGGCATGCGTACTGACTTATTTACTGCTCAGCATGAACCGGATGTGAGCGCCATCTTGTAATGGCGTCTGCAGGGACGGCAGGCGGCTCCCCACACAGCTTATACACCATTCATATGCCTACAATTCATATAAAATAAGAACCTTTTACATTACATATGCTGCTGGGCATGGTAGTGTACAACTTTAGTCCCAGTACTCAGGAGGCAGAAGGAGGCAGATTTCTGTGAAATCAAACCAGCCTGGTCTACATAGCAAGTGTCAGACCACCTAAGGTTAAAGGGATATACTCTATCCAAAAAAAGCCAAAAACAAAAAGACCCCCAAAAATATGTATGATAACATGTGGATATATATTCCTGTCTAGACCTAACCATAAGGATATAAATACATAAATTTATTGTTATATGTGATTTTTATATTACTTAATTTATTGAACCCTGAAGGATACATGTCTTAGCTTGGAAAGTTCAAACTACGTTGAGAAACCCAAGCCTGGAAACGGTGTGAAACTCCAACCCCCAACACAGTGACTGCTACCTGAGAAATCATATGCTAACACTCATTGCCCCAAACCCCCAAACTGTAATACAAGCACTTACTGTCCCAAACCCTCAAACCTTAAGAAATAAAAAAGTCTTTCTTCCTTTAGAGTTCCATAAAACCTCAGACCAACTATGCTTCAGAGTATATGGTTTTGATCCCACAGAGAAACATGATCCTTCATTGCTCTTAATAAAGAACAATCTGTCCTGAGGTTGGTCTCCTCTTTCATTTCCAGTCACCCCGGTCACTCCTGATCTAATAATTTCTAACAAATTCCAAAATATTCCCATTTATTTGCTAAAGAGCCTTCATGAAGAATGCATTCGAAATACATGCAATAAAAGAAGTGATCATGTAATTAATATTTGGGTGGTGACGATGCATGAGGTATTTAAAGAGCACTAAGTTTCAGAATTCACTCTACAGCTAGTGCTGAGGCTCCCAGAGATTAATTAATGTTAAACCGACTGTCTACAATTGATGAGCTGCAATGGCTTAGTGACAGGCCAGTGTGAATCACAACCTCCTAAGGTAAGGCTTAACTTATTTATTTTTAATACAGTGTGATTGGCATGATTTTCAAGTATTAACAAAGTGTATACTTTACTATCAGGTCCTTCATGTAGAATGGCAAGAGTGCAGTTTTCCCACTCAGTACAGGAGGACATGTGCATGTAATGCATACTACTTGTTAACATGTTATCTAAGCATACAATATTCAATACTTGAATTTCAAGTTACAACACATTTTAGAGAATATAGTGCATATTGTATAAAACACACCTTCTTTATATTAGTGTTCTTACAGTCACTCAACACCGTGATGAGAGGTAAAGTTAGTTTTTATTTCTTGTCACCATTAAACAAGCTGCAGTGATTGTCTTTGTGACTGTGAGAGGTTGGGCCTAGGCTAAAAGCAATCTTGAATTGTGGTTTGTATGCAGGTGTTGTAGATTTGGAAAGTGCTCCTTTACATATTTCAGACACTTGAGCCTCAACAATAAGTATGTGGCTTTGAGTTTCTCATACACTTGTAAGCACTGCTTTTAAAAGATTTATCAGTAGCATTCCTCTCTACTGAGACTTCCAAGTGGCTTTCAGTTTGAATATCTAGAACTGAAAGGCATTGCATATTTTTCACGTTTATTTTCAAAAAGGAGCAAAATCTCTTATAGCATCAGTTTACCTAGATATTTCCTATTGTACTGTGATGAAAACATTTTGCCACCTTGGAAAGATTTTATTGGGCTATACTATTATTAGAATGTATTTTATTTTAAATAAAATAGCTGAAGGAAACCAGAAAAAAATACATTGGACACAGTGGTACATGCCTTTAATCGCAACATGCGGGAGGCAGAGACAAGTGGAACATTATAAGATCAAAGATAGTGTGGTCTACACAGTGACTTCTAAGTTGACCAATAATCCATGACTATTAAGTAAATATATGTTCCCTTTAGACAGTATTTTCATGGCAATTAAAAAATTTGAAGACAGTCCTGAATGGTGGCATATTGCCTTTAATCCCAGCACTGGGGAGGCAGAGGCAGAGGCAGAAGCAGGAGGATCTCTGAGATTAAGGCCAGCCTGGTCTGTATAGAGAGTTCCAGGCAGTTGGGGTTACAGGGAGACCCTGTCTCAAAAAAACAAAACAAAACAAAACAAAAAACAACAGCAACAATAAAACATTTGTATGAAATCCAAACCAACAAACAAGGAAACACACACTCAATGTATGGCATACTCAAGAATAAACATATATTTTCCACCAAAGTTGTAATTATGAAACTTACCCATGTCAGATCAATTAAACAAGGGGCCAAAGGGGAGGTGAGAAGTAGGTGGCAGGCAAGCACTAGATTGAGAACTATTTGAGATTTAGTGCTGCTTGGTGAGGGACAGTATGACTTACATGCAACCACTGAATGGGCTGATTAGACTCCAGTGAATGCATGCCCACTGAAGGACATTTGGGTACAAACACCGGAGTGAACAGGACTCAGCATGTATGGCAGAGTGCATAGGGTTCACTGGGGAGAGGAGGAGGGGAGGAATGGGTGGGGGAGGGAGTCTGGATTTGAGTGGGAAATACTGTATGAAATTTTAAAAGCTCAATAAAAAAATTATTTTTTTAAAAATTAAAAAAAGACTAAATGTATATTTTCCACCAACATTTCAATTATGAATTCAGACATCCAGAGACAAACATCTTTGTTGTTCACATTTAACCTGAAATTTGAAGGAAATTTCTTATTTATGTCAGCTGTGGTACCTCATTTCTGCATGTTCCCATAAGTGTTTCTTTTCTGTGTATGAAAACTCATTGAAGGATTAATAACTATAAATTTTGAGGTCTGCTTAAAGAAAAAAATTTGAGATGAGAAAGAAACAGATTTTTATTCTGGTATGGACAGAACTGGGGTGCTCTTCACATCTTAAATTTTATTTTCATTATGTGTCTTTCAGCAATTTTAAGTGTTTTAAATACATTCTTTGTTTAAAAGGTTGTTCAAGTTCAATCCCACGTGTTTAGGATATCAAATGTTTACTGTTTAAGTGTCTCCTTGTTCAAATACTGGATTCAAATGAAAACATATTCAGATAAATCATGCAAAAGATTTCTCAATTATTTTAACATATTGCTATAATATTATCTGGTTTCACTGAAAACTGACAAAGTGTGATGACATCATGAAGTTATCTACTGACTCAAAATCCTGAAAATTAATATTTACTTTGAAAAATCATTTGCTTTTTAGTTATGTGTAAACTAGCTATATAGTATACAACTCTTAAATTCATTATGTCACAATAAAAACTAAAAAAAACAAAACGGTGATAATTCGTTGGAAATTCATAGTTCTATAGCTGGGAATGAATCCTTTGGCTTCCAAACTTAGTTTGCATTTCATATTTTCTCTTTTCATTTGCAGACAGTTTCTCACCTGTGACTCCTTTAAAGGGCTGGCAAAATGCAACAGAACAGTACTGTAACTGAATTTGTACTGTTGGGATTGACACAGGATCCTCTTAAGCAGAAGATGGTGTTTGTAATCTTTTTAATTTTGTATATGGGAACCACGGTGGGTAATACCCTTATCATTGTGACCATCAAGTTCAGCCGGGCACTTGGGAGCCCCATGTACTTCTTCCTGTTATATTTGTCCCTCACTGATTACTGCTTTTCAACATCTATAGCCCCCAGACTCATTGTGGATTCCCTATCGGCAAAGAAAACCATTTTCTATAACGAGTGCATGACACAAGTCTTTGCTCTGCATCTCTTTGGCTGCATGGAAGTCTTTGTCCTCATTCTCATGGCTGTGGATCGCTATGTGGCCATCTGTAAACCCTTGCATTACCCTATCATTATGAGCCGGCAGGTTTGTGTCATCTTGATCATTCTTGCCTGGATAGGGTCCTTTATACACTCCACTGCTCAGATCATCTTGGCTTTGAAATTGCCATTCTGTGGACCCAACTTGATTGACCATTATTGCTGTGACTTGCAGCCCTTGTTGAAACTTGCTTGCATGGACACGTATATGATAAATCTGTTATTGGTGTCTAACAGTGGTGCGATTTGCTCAAGCAGTTTCATAATCTTGCTGATCTCATACTTTGTCATCTTACATTCTCTGCAAAACCATAGTGCAGAAGGGAGGAAAAAAGCTCTCTCCACCTGCACATCTCACATCATTGTGGTTTTCCTCTCCTTTGGCCCCTGTATATTCATATATGCACGGCCCCCAACCACTTTCTCCATGGACAAGATGGTGACAGTGTTTTATACCATTGGCACACCCTTTCTCAACCCGCTGATCTACACACTTAGGAATGCAGAAGTAAAAACTGCCATACGAAGGTTATGGCATATTTAAATTTTTACTACATTATATCTCAAATATTTTCACTTCTGTGTCTATTATACATATATGTCTATTATATATATATATATATGTATTTCTAGTATGTGTGTCATGGCTAGACAAAGTACAGTTAATTCATAAAAACTGTGCGCCAGTCATCTTTCCTCTCTGCATTTTTCTTTCTATCTAGGAAGTTTCCAAGGTATAAAACCAGCTATTCCTTCCCACAACAATCTAGCAAACTTGAATGACTTTCCATTCGGTTATTGTGGCAATAGATCAGCTGCATCTATTAAAATTTAAGTCGAACTCCTTTTTCCTGAAAGTACAACTTTTGACAGTGGTTCTTATAAATTTTGACACAATTACATACACATACTTGTTTAATAAGAAGACTATTAATACAATAGCAATTGCTCAAACTTTTGTATCTCTGTAGATACATGTAGTTCTCTTTAGGTACTTCCTTTAATATGTATTTCCTATAAAATAATTAAGTCACATAGACACTGAACCAGTATGTCAGGGCTGCATTCTTGATTCATCACTAGTTTGTATATGAAGAGTTTGATATTTTGAACAAGATTCCATTTTATGACAGTCTAAACTAATTTTTCTTAATGTTCCATTTACTGCTAATATATCCAGAGCATAATTTATGAGATACATTAATGTATTCTTTTGAAGCCTCTAACATTTATGTGACTGTGTGTTAGACCTGCAGCAACAAATCTGCGACTCTGAGGGTTAGAATAGAAACCTAATGTAGCAAAACCAAATTTTAAAACCATAAAATTCAATGGATATGTGTATTTTCTGGGACTGGAGATTTGAATGGAAGCTAAAAAAAGTATGATCTATTGTATTCAAAGGTAACAATATTGATGACATAAATGAAATCACCACAGGCATTTATAAGTGACCTCCTCATGATAAAATAAATTTTTCAAATTAGTATCAAGTAAATTTCATATGTTTAGTGAATATTGTTTATGCTTGTTGATAGTGTCACATTTCAAATATCAGAGGATATAATTATTAAGGAAGAAACTTGAAGTGAGACAATCAGTCTTCCCTTTTTCTCTTTATTTTTCTTCCCATAAGCACAAATTCACCATCATGTTGAATTATTGTAACTGCAAAAGGAAATTAGTTCATGTTGGTGCTGATAAGGTTCATATATGAAGAACTAGAGCTCAGGCACAAGCATCCATTTCAGAGAACTCACCAGGCTTTTTTCCAAATTACCATGAGTTGTGTAAATCATATATGAATTATAATTAATATTAAATAATCTTGTTAACATTATAAAGTAAAAACATCTTTTCCCAAATTTTGTATTACACTCTTTTCTGAATATATTAATTATACAGAGCATGAGAGTCCAGTGTGATATTTCTATACACGTACAATAATCAGAGAACTCACCAGGCTTTTTTCCAAATTACCATGAGTTGTGTAAATCATATATGAATTATAATTAATATTAAATAATCTTGTTAACATTATAAAGTAAAAACATCTTTTCCCAAATTTTGTATTACACTCTTTTCTGAATATATTAATTATACAGAGCATGAGAGTCCAGTGTGATATTTCTATACACGTACAATAAATGGATGATGAAAAGAGACTGTCATTTCTTCTCCTTTTCTTTACCTTTGGAGACTTAGCAGCTCCCCCATTCCAGATCTTCACAATATACATAATTGTTGATTATGGATTATATTCATCTAAATTGGCTATAATACCAGAAACACAAAGTGTGTGTTTTTATTCTTATTATATAACCTCCCTTGTTTCTAACAATCTACTAACTCTCCTATACCTGAAACCTAAAAGAATGTTAAATGTACTGATAATACTTTAAAATTAGAAATGGAGGTTTTAGGAAGACACACGCCAGTCTTTTTACAACTTACATCAACAGCTATAAATCTCATGGCATAAAGAGAAGATGGGAACATCAATCTAATACTAACATATGAAGGGGCAAATGTCAAAGAGGGGAAACGGATCACTGTGGAACATGGGATACTTTTCTGTAGGTTCTTAGTCTGTTGTAGAAATTTAAAAACAAAGAACTAGAGAGATGGCTCAGCAGTTAAGAGTACTCACTGGCTGCTTTTACAGAATGTGAGTTTGGTACCCAACACCTACCTGGTGGCTAACAAACATCCACAACCCTAGGTCAGGGGGATCCAAAACAGTGTTCTAGTTTCTGTGAGCATTTTTTTTTTTTTTTGACTCAGGTATACTTACATACACGCAGATAAAACATTTGTATACATAGCATAAAAATAACTTTTCAAAGCAAACAAACAAAACAGGTAAAGAAGTAACTCAAGGATGATTTTTTGAGGTAGGAAAGCAATTAATAGGTAAGGAAAGCTGAGTATCACAACGCCTGTTGGATAAAGGAATTTGGACAGAAGAAAGAGGCGGGAAGGAGAAGTTATGCTACTTTCTGAGACAGAAGTGAGAAGACAGCAGGTTCATCAGAGAAAGTGTGTGAACAAATAGATGAAGGGTGGGGGTTTGGCATACGAAGTTCATATCTCACTTATGGGAGGCTTATTCCTCCCATTTCCTTGTCTTTTATTTTCAGTGTGTCATGGTTCTTTTCACTTTTAGGTCTTAGACTAGTCTTAGGTGCAAAACAGGATAGCAAGCTTAATGCTAACAGGAGGAGGGAGGAGTCTTTTGGTGTGGAGGGGAGCTCTTAATCTCAAAAGAACTCCCAGATATTGTGAGACATGGAAGGCACCTCCCATCTACATCTGTAAAGGGTGTTAATGGCTTTCAATCCATGCCAATTCTAGTGGTATTTTCTGCCACTACCATGTCATTTGTACCAGAGGATGTAGACATAAGTTATTTGTATATGGCAAAAGGTGCTTTGGAAGAGATGGCTGCTTAGGGTTCATTTTCTTTCAGTTTCTCCCAGCCTAATGTCCCCTCTCACATGAGCATCAATGTACATTGGTATAGAGTACATTACTGACAATTAAAAATATAGGAACTAAAAGATAATGAAACTCAGGGCTGGAGAGACAGCTCAGTGGTTAAGAGCACTGACTGCTCTTACAGAGGACCTGGGTTCAGGTTCCAGCACCCACATTGTGGCTAAAAACAGTCCTTAACTATCAATAACTCCAGTTCCAGGGGATCCTAATGTCCTCTTCTGACCTCCACAGGCATTGCAAGGCATGGGTGCACTTACACACATGCAGGCAATACACTCATACACATAAAAATAATAGTTCAAGGCCA